ATTCATCCTGTTAAATTTGATACAAACCTGTAATCTGCAATGCACATTTTGATACAAGCAATCATAACCTATAGGTTTGACTGTTAAAATACCATCCGATAGAGGCATTGCTACCGAATTTGGTTGAGCAACAATTCGACATCGAATATGGCCATATAATGGTGGTCCATAGTTAGCCGCTGTAACACAGAATGCCAGTATAATTAATTTCGTGTATATGAAATATGCATAGAAAAAGTAAAATTCAAACAATTTTTTTTTTTTGAAGATTTCAACAAACAACTTATACAATAAAATAATAGCTTACATAATAAAACCTATAACACATGTGAGCTAATTTCTATCTTTTTCAGAACTTTTTTTGATTTAAAGATTGAAAATACGACTGAACCACGGAAAACTGCTACAAATGATACTTGAAATAGGATATAAACACTTTTCCCATTACTTTAAACATCAAGAACAGTAAGTTTTACAGCATATAAGCATGAACATGACGAATTCAATTTTAAAACTTCATTCCTCGCTGATTTCTCTGTCACTAGATTTCTATAGTAGTTATCATTGTGTTAATAATATTTCAAAAGATTTTATAAAAACTTTAATTTTACGTCGTCGTTTATCAAAAAATTAATTTAATGTTTGAGCTTAAAATTCAAGTTCTGAATTTGAGCTGTTGATAACTTGACAGTGTTAAAATTTAAATAAAATTAAAATCGCTAAAAATTCGAACAACTAATCAATTACTTTATCAGTCAAATGAAAGAAGTTATAGGATGAAGAAATGTTTTAGAAATATATACTCTTATCAATCTGGCGAATGGATTTCAATGGGTACCATTTGGTGACACATGAAGGTCATAAATTCCGACTTTCGGTTTCGCATCACTCAAAGTCAATGTTGTCCGACCTAACAGATGAAAATATTTATTGTTTGAACCATCCTGAATGCTATTGCTGTCACCTTCACCATTCATTAGCGGCTCGAATGGCACCATATCATCACTCAGCCAACTTGTCTTCTAAATTTCATCAATTATGCGAAAAGCTTGCCTTCGTAAAGTTGAATGATGTAGCGTGCTCAATGGAGAGGTAACTAACATAATTAGTGCCAAATCGTCGACCAAATGAACGGGTTAATTTCTGCTTCAATGATTGATTGGTATCACCACTATCGGTTCGTGATCCATAAAGCTGAATCTCTATTTCAAAATCCACCGGTTGATTTTCACTAAAAATCTTATGAATTTTACATCAACTCATTAAAATCAATTCGTGCGTTTATATTTTCAAATTCCGATCATCCTGCAGCTAATCACAATTCATTAATTTCCTTCTAATTATGAACACTGATGAAAGCATTTAAATGCTCTTTTAAAACTATCCTTACTCGTGAAAAAGGAAATTTCGATAAAGGAAATGTGATATTTCGGCACTAAAAAAGAAAATATAAGTTTGATTTTCGATAAAATTGCAAATAGTAAACAAACAAAATGAAGGAATCCGTAAATGCGACATCGGTACATGTTCGATCAATAGCTGTTACAATACGACTGTCGTTAACATTATTAGTAGCTTGGAGTGCCATAAACATCGAATACACTTTCCCTTCTGAAAAAATTTGATAGTAAACTTTGGACTAATTCCATTATCGGATTTTAATTATTCAAATAATATTCAGATTGTTACGATGGATTGATTTCATATCAGATATAACGATAGAAGTAAGGTAAAGAAATCTAAGTAAAATCCTTGAAGATAAATAAAATTCAGGAAACGAATAAGTTAATCAAATTTCATATCTCATTGATAATGCTAAACAGAACTAACTTAGATGCATCAGCATATTAATGGCTAACTTGAGCATAGATTTTCCTCAATTGCTAACATTACTCATAAGAATTAATCTTACTGAAGACTTTTAGTTTAAATTGACAAATTCGGAAGAATTTAAGTATGAACTGCTCTAGAAAATGAAACACTTAATAAGTGATAAAAGATGCACATACCTCCACGTGTTCCAAAGTGTTCATCGCTATTCCAGGCTAATGGTACGGAGAGATGAGATATACCAATTCGAGCTCTACTTGGACCATTTGACAAAGTTGACATATGATGTACTTCTTTTGTTCGAACACTACAAAATTTATTTTGAATAAGGAAAAAAGGATTCCAAGCTTAATTATAAATAAAGATTTGTAGAACTATTAGAATTGATTTAACTAGAATTGGTATATAAATCAGATTTTCAGCAAGTTAATTCATTAGCAAATAGCTCAATTTGCATATTCAACTGAAAGACAAATACTACAGTAGTGAATTCGAATTAAAAATTAAACATTACACATTCGAAGATGGAGATATTAATGCGAAAACATACTCTGTGGTGAAGACATTTGGATGTCGTAATTTGGTAGATGAAACAGTTGAGCCTAAATGCGATTTTCCAACAAGAATAGATATGGTACCATCCGATGCATCCACCATATTTATCGTCCCGATATAAATTTTCTCATACAATTATACCATTTTTTTGCATAATTTCATATCCTTATTGCCATATACCTTATTGAATTTCTAAAAAGTTTTAAATTTTCATTTGAATGAAATTATTGCAAAAAAATGCGCAACGATTTACAAAAATGACAAACTTGTTTTGAAATATGAACAAAAGAAATTTAAAACTTCAAATTCAAAGATGGAAGAGAAAAATGTGAATTAGATCATCTATAGGATATAATCATTAAATTGGAGTTGTAGGATTTGTTTACGTGGTAAATTGTTCGAAGTAAATATTTAACGATTTCATAACCACTACCTATTTTATCCGGAAGATATTTGTAAAGATAATTACATAAATTAAAAGATGAACTGGTAGAACTTTCCGGAAGGCAAATTAACAAACATTACAATTTATAAGAAACTTACTGAAGTACAGACGCTAATTTCCGCTCGTCAACAAAATTTCCAAAATATTTGGAGGAAGAAATCATTTGATTTTCTTGAAATCTAATTCAAGAAATTTAATCTTATCAAGTTAATAATATGTTAGTTAGTGTTTCAATTGGAATCCATAAGAATAATACAATAGGTTTAATCAGAAACAATGAAGATTCAGGTTACGATTAGAGAATTTGAAATTTGAAACTAATTTTCTTTCTGACCCATCCTAATGAAATAAATTATTACTTATAATTATGTTAGCAATACTTTCATCTCAAACAATTTCATGGCTTATTTACAATTATAACTTACTATTGTCGAATTAAGCTAACGAAAGATGAATGGAAATGCAAAGTGCAATTTGAATAAAACTATTGAAATGATTTCTTCGTAAACTTTAAAATGAAGTTGACATTTGCCTTCTACTTTTTGATGAATACTTATCCGATAGTTTCGGTAAACTTCCATTTTCTTTCTCTCTCTCCCTCCCTTTGTCTCTATCTCTTTCCCTCTCCCTCTCTCTCTCTCTCTCTCTCTCTCTCTCTCTCT